GCTGTCTATCGTCCTCCAAGTGTCAAGGTTATAGGTCACAAGTGGGTATTTGGGCACAACTACGATGAAAAGGGCGATATTGTTCGTTACGAAGCGCGTTTGGTCGCCCCCGGATACCTGCAAACGCATGATTTGATTACTTCGACACGTATCCACCTGTCGCGTGCTCCAACACAATTCGTGTGTTCTTGTCAGTTTGTTGCAGCATGCAATATGTGATCCGGCAGTTCTACGTAGAAACAGCGTTTTCGAATGGTGATTTGAGAGAAGATGTGTACATGGAGCTTCCCTTTGGAGTTGAGATTAAATCTAGAATGGTGTGCAAACAACGACGCAGTATATATGAATTAGAACAAGCGGCTGCGGTTTGCACAAGAAAATATGCTTCGTGTTTTCAGCCATGGGCTTCAAACAATGTCGAGCAGACACAAGTCTCTTTGTTCGACGCAATGATGCAAACGATCAGTCACCAACGTACATAGTCTTGTATGTGGACAACCTCTTGATTGGATGCAAGTCAGATGCAGAGGCGGACATGATTTTCAAAAAATTGACAGAGCATTTTATTGTGAATTCGCTTGAAGCTGCGCGATTTATTTTGGGCATGGAGGTAAATTACTCACAAAAAAAGGGAGAATTGGTGCTAAAACAGTCCCAATTTATTATGAAGCTGGTCCAAAATTTGAGCAAAATGGAGCTTATGCAGTGCGCAACCCTATCTGCGCAGGCCAGGACCTAACTCCGGATGAATCACACCCGGTGCTGAAGGACATCACTTCGTATTGCAAATTGGTCGGTTCAATGCTGTATATTGCGAATGCCACGCGACCGGACATTGGTTACGCGATATCAGTGCTGTCGCAGTGCTTGGACAAGCCACGACAGATGCAATGGCGTGCGGCTCTACGTGTTTTTCAATATCTCATGGGAACACGATCACACGGAATTGCGTACAAGAAATCGGACGACAATAAGATGGTACTTTGGGCATACTGTGATGCGAGTTGGGGAAATGACAAGATGACACGGCGATATACTTCTGGTGGGTTGCTTTTGATTGGAGGTGCATTTGTTGTGTACAAAATCAACTGTCAAATCCGGTGGCTTTATCCTCTGCTGAAGCAGAATATACGGCACTGGCACTAGCTATGCAAGAAGTGATGTGGATTCGATATTTGCTGAAGGAAATGGGTGTAACGTGTAGGTCTGCGACGACGATTTACATGGGAAACAAGTCGGCGATAAGTATTGAGACGAAACAACGATATCCACCAAGAGCTAAGCATATTGACATCAGGGTGTATTTTGTTCGAGACCACATTGAACAAGGCGAGATCCAGCTCAAACATGTTCCGTCAGCTATGCAACTTGCTAATTACCTGACAAAACCACTTAGTGCTCCGCAATTTATGCGACTGCGCAATGAAAGTGGAATTCGCCAGAGTACAAGTTGAAGGGGAGTGTAGAGGATCACGAGATACGACAATGATGTGCGTGTTGTGATCAAGGCAACTTGCAGGGACAGTGATATTCGAACGTTTTGGAGTGAGTGATCAGTGTACGAGGAGGTTTGTACATTCAGTCAGTAGTATTTAACTCTTAATACTACTTTCCCTTTTGCAGCACAGAGAAGTAGTTAGCTTTCGTTATAACTTCTTTGCCTCTTTTATAACAATTATTAGACCCCTTGATGTTTATCTAGCCAGCTCTCACACCGCTTTCATATACGTATATGTTACCACATATTTTACGTTGATTGAACAATTCGGTATAATCAGTCTTGCATTTATGGATTTTTAGCTGATTTGTCGAAATCGCTTGTGACCGAGCCGCTTTTTCAGAGCCCAGAGGTCTCGATACAGTTTAACAATGTCGGGTAAGAGAAGTTTCGCTGTAGCAAATCAGGTATAAGATTTCTTTAGTTTATACTATGCTGTCAAACAGATACGACGGATCCTGTCCAAGCCGATATACGGTAGACCAAATTACTCTATCCGTCGACAAAGGGTATGATCAGAGCGTTCTGCAGCACTGCGTGGCAGCCGAACGATAGATGGTTGAGGTTAGGACTGTTTGGGGGTCCAAATGGGTTTTTATAGGTCTCGAGTCATGTTGCGTACCATCCGTGCACAAGAGTGGTGCACGTGCATCGATGTTGCAGCCAAAAGCAGTTGCATTCAGTATGGCAGAAGTCGAACCGTGCACTATCATTCTTGGTACGCGTACGCTCACGACTGGGAATGAAATCTTGATGTTGGTGGTGGTGAATCGTGGGTTGGTCAAGCTGCTTGCCCGCTTCGATTGCTGCGTGGCGCATCTAATGTTGGCTTCCAGAAAAATCATTCATTTTCGACTCAATGGCTAGCGAGCTCTTTCGCCCACACACGATGTCACGGGCAACACGTCCGAACTCTAAGCAAGGTCTTGCTCAACCGGTTCGACGGTTGCAAACTCACTCCAACTCTACCGAAGTTGAGTATACAGGTCATGAACTAATCTGTATCAGCCGCACGCGCTTTTGTACGTTCATTTACACTGCCATATCAATAAAATCTCATCTACTCCTGGGACAGGAGATGCTTAAGTACGACAACACTTTTTGTGTTTTTTATTGCATCGAATTTCGTGGTTTGCGTCGACACATGTGCCATTCCATTCCGTACATGTCTTGCAACACGTGACGTAGTACGGCCTTTTCATAGGTCTCGGCCACAAATGTCATGCAGTCAAGCAGTCAAGTGATAGCATACCTGAAGGCCCACGATTGCGTACAACATCTCTAGGTCTTGCAGCATCACTGACGTCAAGGTATATGACGTATTCAGGATTGCTTTCCACGATGGAAGCTAATAAGCCAAGAACCTTTACTTCTTCGACGTGTGTTGCAGCTTTCTGACAACATCGATCGTATTCTCATGTCTTTAGCATCTGTTGGTCTGCTTTGTGACGTATTCCCACCACCCGTTCGGGTTCTGGATGCGCTTGACTCGATGACACCGTTGCATTGCCTTTGCAGTGTACATCACTCCTCGGCAGTTGAAGACGAAGACGTGCGGCGGACGCATGCCAGTGAAAGAATCACCATTTGATAGTAAAACAAAAGGATGGCAATCACTGCAGTGTCTCATTCGCGAGATACACCGGGATGTGCCGCTAGCCGTACTGTACGGAAACCGATCGGTTTGTCGTTCGTATGTGTTTGTGCGAATCTGGCGCATACAGTACCATGTCCAGACGAAGTAAAACGACGTAGGCACATCGCTGCTTCCTGCCACTCCGGGTGCTACCAAACATTGAGGTGATAGCACCACCATTTGACGACACTCAAAACAAACACGACTCAACCGTTGCGGCCCAGCAGGACTTTCTATCGTCCGAAGGCACCTCGACGTGATCCATCGATGGTACGTATAGCTGATGAGAGAAGTTTGTGTTAGAAACTATCGTATTTGACAGGTTTCTAGGTTCAAGTACTATACCATGGTACGGTGTCACCTGATTGGCTGGTCGCCATGTGACAGGTTGACACATGGGACTGCGAGAGACGGACGTCATATGTGACTCGTTATAGTCAAGTTGCAGTCTCGTTTTGTCTGGTCATACATATCGTAGTGTTGAGGAAGGTCATGCTAAACACTCAATATATTTCACTTTTACTTCCACCTACTTTGCACCAAGTGCACTACTACGCTCTAACAGTTTCCCATGGTGGGTCGCTTTCGCATACTTATTCCTAGACTGATTCTCATGCACGAAGATGTCCGTGTTTTCAGACCGGTGTTTGGCCGCCACACAACCTCTTTCGTCGATATGCTTGACCTTCCAATACCTCTGCTTCACTTCCAAAGACGTCGTTCGTCCCTTTGCTTTTAGCATCGGGTGGTCCCGCCAGCAGATTCTGGTGTTACTCAAGTGCGTAGCTATAAACACATGTAGCTCGTGGTCGAGAGCATGACTGCTGTGCAGGAGATCACTGGACAATACAAAAGCTTTGGTTCGCAAGAAGCACCACATGGAAGAAACAGGCTTTTTGCAAATTTGTCTAACGACCGTCCGCTCGCGAAGTTGTGCACAATCATTCACATTTACAAGATGTACAGGCATTCGCGATCGGACGGTCAATAACAATGTAAGCGACCAACACCCGCTTCGACGTGCGACCTTCATCATGTGTATCGAAAAGCAGACAAAACGTTGTTGAGCTCGTCCGTTCGCAGTGCTCACAAATGTTCTTGTCGGTCCCGCAAACCCAACTTCTACCACATTCGAGGCTGCCTCCAGCCAGCATCTCAACGATAAGATACGAGCGAAGGACAATTTATTTGCAAATGGGTCCATCGGCTGCGTTGCACGATACGCGGGTGTTGTCAACAGCTCATGAGTTCTGGTCTTCGCAGACAAGATAGAGCTCGGTCAAGTATGCCATGTCGAAAATATGTCGAAGCTCTAGCTTGTCTGCGCTGCGTTTTCCTCTTTTCAGACAGCGATTACATCTCACGGATTTTCCATCGCCAATACACATGTTACGTGAGCACTTTGTCACTCGCCATCTGCATGGGCCGCATAGCATACCGTCGATTTTGTGAGGAGTCCAGCAGAGAGTCTAGTCTGACAAAGTTCGTTAGCGTAATTCCCATGTGTTATGAGATCCTTTACCGACCCGTGACGGAATCATATGGGACACCATGCGGCACTGCATAGTCGAACCTGTTGCTCCATTATGGTGCCGTATTTCATTACTAGCAAGCATTCGAAGGCAAAGAACTACCATGCACTCGGCAACGTCGCCATGTAATAACGATACCAGGACCCGACTGTTGTTTGCAGTCTATATCTATCCCTCCAACAGGCGGCGACTCCATACCATCCGACTTCACGCTTCGTTCGCTTCGCTTCCACCGCAGTCGAATGCTCTTTTCAACTCTCCATTCCACAACTTGCTTTCAAGACAAGACTTCGTTCCCTTTACCTTTGCCTCCATCTTGACTGCGTGTTATACTATGAAGCTCATCACTTCAGTCTTCGCTGTCATCGCAACTGGTGCCCTCACCGTTTCCGCCGACGTCGGCACTGTTCCCGTTTGGGGATACCGTGCTAATGACGCCAGCATGGTGCACACGGCTAGCTGGACCACCAACTGGGCGGCATGCGGTGGCGTCCGTCAGTCTCCTATCGACATCGTCACTACCGTCACGTCTTGTAATAGTGAGAAGCTTCCGCTAAGCTTCAGTGGACGTTGTAGCCAGTTCAACCTGACGGAACCTCACGAACCACTCGAGGTGGACGTTTCGGGAGGTATGACAGTCGCGGTGTTATGATGCAATTGAAGGACTACTGTGCTTGATTTTAATGTTGTGAGCTGTGTGCCTAGGCAACTGTGCTGTTTCGTTGAACGAGGATACTTTTAACCTAGCGCAATTTCATCTGCACACGCCTTCGGAGCACACCGTGGACGGAAAGAACATGGACGGAGAAATCCACTTTGTGCATGCGTCGGGTGACGGAAAGTCGCTTCTAGTGGTGGGCGTCTTTATCCAGATTGGTCCGAAATCGGACAGTTGGTTGGGCCCTGTCCTGGACGCTCTGGAGATGGTCAATTCCACCACGCGATCCGATGCGATTGTCGTGAACCTGTACGTGAGCATGACGTAGACGTGGAATGCCCACGCGCAGACGTGATACGTTGGCAGCTCTCTAATAGCTTCTGATGTTTGTTGCGCAGGAAATCCTACTCGACGATGGTGCGTGCGGCTGCAGCAGTCGGTGGTATTTACAACTACCCGGGCAGCCTCACGACCCCGGGTTGCGAAGAGAATGCTGATTGGTGGGTGGTGCAGAACCCGATCAAGATCTCTTCTATCGACTATGGCCGCCTCCACCAGGACTTGGTGGAGTACCACATCACGGACGACGGCAACAACGCTCGTCCGGTGCAGCCTCTAAACGGACGTACGGTCACTCGTTACAACTAACGTCTCGAATCTCGGGCAAAGGAATGGGTGAACAATAGAACTCCACCAGCTTGTGCAGGTGCAGCAAAAGAAGCTGACACATCTGCGAGTGTCGACAGAATCATGGAACAACCAAAAAACAAAAAAGAACGGAGCGTCGGACAAGAATCGCACTCCGCTGTGGATGCCATCATCCCATCTCCCACTGTTGTAGAGGAGATCGAAATGTTTGTGGAAGTTGATAGTTGTGTGTTTGCTATAATAAGTAATTATAGCTACGAATAGTTGTAGTATGTACTACAAATTTACGTAACAATTTGTATCGAACTACTTTTGTCATGAGGCGCTTGACTTGGAGCTGACACAATGCAAAGTCATTAAGACAAATGCTCGCCGACGCAACAAGTTACATCGACCTACAGCGCATGTATTTTGCTTTTTTAATGAGTGAGACCCGTGTCACTGCTTTGCCTTAAGATCTGTACTGTGACACAAGTCCTTACATATTACGAATGGACCCCAAGTAGTCGCACTCCAAACGAAGTCGATATTTGTACTATCGCAACAAAGTATGTTGAAAACGCACATGGCTATCTATGGTAAAAAATGAGATGTGTCTAAGCGTGGCGGCTTAGTGGAGCGGATCTATACCAGCTCCTTGCCAGAAGAATGCTTCAGGTCAAAGCGTCACTTAGTTCTTAAACAAAATCACCACTCAGCGACTCTACTAGCGCAAAGAACAATGACTCAGTTTAATGGATGTGATTCTGTTGCGGAATGTTGTCATTTGTATGACAATAAAGAATAATGTGTTGATATTTTATCAACAATACCACTATATACAGTGATATTGGCGCAAACCCCCAAGGGTCTACTCATTGCTTGACATAGGTCACACTACCAACCCACCAATCCCGATTTGAAGCGCGCAATTGGTGGTGAGTAGACGCACGCATGGGACGTGAGGAGGCGCACCATTCCGCATTAGTATACTTGACTTAGGCCTGATTGATAAGACAGATGTAGGACTTTATTGTAACGATTATCATGTTTACTGTTTTTACTACCAATCGTTTCGTTTCATAAAAACATTCTCAGCTTACGTGTACGAGAGGTAGTAGGGCACTAGCTCCCACTGTTGCGAGTAAGGGTCAGCTACGTACTGAATTGTGTGCGTAGTCACCATTGCCCCGCTACACCTGGTAGCACTTTGTAATCCTTCCAGCGACCACAATCCCCTCGCTCAACCTGAACAAGTCATTCAATATGAAGACAGATTTCACGCCACGCGTAAAAGCCACTCCTATTTGAGTGACATCAGATTTGGTACGGTCGAGATAATTTATTCTTCCGTGAGCTAGAATGTTGTCAGGGCCATGCTCTCCGCATTGGGCAGAGACGAAAACATTCCTCCGTCGCCAGGTTCATGCAAGATAAACTTGACGCATCGCAGGAAAAAGTGACCTTGCTTTACCAGCATGATTCTCCGCCGCCAGATTTGTTGAGAGGACAGGGTGATCAATAGTTCTACCTGTTGAGATATCGCAGGCCTGCTCTACTGTCCTCTTGCAGAAGCGCTCGCGTTAACACAGATTATTGAAGATCGATATCTCCATATACAGAAAAGTCAGAAAAGAATCTATTTGTATATAGTTCGTTGAGTTTGGAGACACCGTATAATCTCGTCACATCGACGATGGGAAATGAATGTCGAAATTGATCAATGGAACTTGGCAGGCTGTTATAGGCCTTGGGCCTTAGAACTCAAGCTGCCCGACCCATATGTGTTTAGGTCATTAGATGCCTTTGAGGTCTGGCTCAGACAAACATTCGAGACGCCGCAAGATGGGTTTGGGATCTAGCAGAGCTCTCGAGATTTCAGTGTGACGTGCTGGATTATACTCAGCACGCTCACAACGTTGTGAGTTGCGTCAAGACCCGACTAGTTCGTAACCACACGTTAGCCACGTCTTCATGCAGTACTTATCTGATGGTCACGTCAAGAATCATATGTTTTCCCAAGAAGTAGATACGCCGGAACAAGCGATATCTGCTGCGAAGCAGATAGACCTTTGGATGAAAACGGCTCCTCCTAATTCAAGATCCTATCTTTTACTGAGACGGCTAGAATTTGAATGTCCAGAACCGATAGATCTCAATTACGTCAAGAGCAAGAGTCTCGCTATTCAAACAAAAAATCATTACAAAAAAAAATCGATGCCATAAAAATGATACCATAAAAATGAGTGCAAAGCCCACTCCAGTACCTCGCAGTACATATTGAAGTGTCGTCAAGTATTCTTAGAATGACCTGAGGCGATGATCCAACGATGTTGCGAAGTCACAACAGCGAAGCGGAACGTTGGAACACGGTAGAGGTCAGCAGGTTGGAGCGCCCTAATGATTAAAAAAACCTCAAGATAATTTGTTGGTCTTTGTATGAAAGCTGCTTCAGGTAACTAGTTAGTTTGTGTCTCTCCACCTGGTGGTAAGGTATCGATTATCGTCTTCAAATCGAAGTGGCGAAAGGCATGTAACTTCGCTTCCTAGTTGAATGTGAGACGTCGTATAACTATATTCGACGCCAGTCACTATAAAATTGTAGGCCTAATTTTAATGCTAGCTTGACCCCTCCAATGCGATTGACGATGCCTCTTGCAACAGGTATATTTGTAATAACTATGGTACATAAAGTAGGATTTCACCACACGTATATAAGATGAACAGTACGACGACATTTGTATCATACTGGACCGGCATGACAGAATTGATATCATATACTTGTTCTCCCATGTCTTAGAAGATACGAGCCATGGACTAGCTGCCAGCACCAATATGTGAAGATGCAATCCACCTATTCATTGATTGCCCATTTAATGTCTGTCTCAAAGTATTTACAAGCTTATATAGGCTCTACAAATGAGTGCGATAACATCGCTTGTGGTTCAGGTGCTATTAAGACTGCACAAGATCGGATGTAGTTGACCACTACACCATGTAAAAAGCCACTTGGCTGTGTTGAACCTCAGTGGGCGACAAAGGTCCACTACTCGAACAAGTCGCGTGGATCGGGACACGGAGCATGCCTAGGGGGAAGCAATCGAGAAAGATCTGACACGTTTCCCCGAAACGGCTTTAAGACGATCATAGATCCATTGGAAAGCTGATTGTAGACAATCTGACCGTGGAAACGTTTCCACAGCTAGGACAAGATAAGATAGTACGTCCTCACATACCTGAGATATGTATTTATACAATTCGTAACACTTAAAAAAGACTTATATGCCGGATTGATCTGTTCTTAGCACAGACTCCGAGGTATCAAATGTCTAGGTTAGTGACGGTGTACGTGTAGGTAAGTATGCACGTGATGGAAAAACGACTCCGTCGTTATTTTTCGAAATAAATATCTACGTTCAAGCCAAAATGGCTCTTGTGTGATCCGCGTAGTGACTAGGTTAAGAATATCCGCTTACTCGTACTCGTCTACGCTGATAAGAGGACAAGTAAGTCGGTTCTCATCTGCTCATCGATGGGCTAAACTTATCTTGATGAAAAGACTTCGATTGAGCATTACACGCTATAACGCTACTTATCGCTCCAGGCAACTACCACTATGTATAACGATTGATCGAGTTTAAATAATGTATTGCCTGAATTCGTACTATGCATGTTGCTAAAGGAAAAAATACTCGTGAGAATATTGAACTAAAACTCCGGTTCAAAGAACTGTGTCAAGTAAGTGGTCCTGCCTCGTGAACAGTTCATTGTCAATGACAAGCACTTAGCCGATCGCTTCGAAGCGAGCATACTAGAGTGTCCCAACTCCCCCCGTACAGCTTTCCGACCGCTTTTTGTGTGCGAAATGTCAAATGACGATGGCATATACTTCATGCAATCGACACGCTGGTACTGCAGCGTTACTGGATCAGATGACGCTTCCTAGATTGGGCATGTTCATTGATACTATATCAAAGCTATTCATGTTCTTGTTCATGTATTTGATGGGAAACTTCTATCATATCGTCATGCGTAAAGGAGACATCCCGTACGCAGCAGGCTGCACCCTCAGTGGTATACTCTGGAGGTGGCTTGCCACAGGGGCGAAGTAATAAGTCTGCCACGTTGAATAGATGACTAGCAAATGTGCTGAGACCTGTGCGCAACTTCGCACCAATTTAATTTGATGATGGGGGGCCATCGCTATTACATGGATGGAAAGACGGATGCGGAATCTCACAGACTCCGCGTTCGAAAGGCTCTAACACATATGCACAAGCATACATTGTATGCTAACCTCAAGGATAGTAGGCTAATGTGGTACCTGGGCTAGGTATGAGGTTTGGACGGGTGGATCACGACTATCGGATACGATCCGGGGAGGGGATACGATACGAAAGTGGATTCAATCAAGAGGGTATTCGATCCATTCTGTTTTTTATAAATAAGTACCTTCGATATAATATTGGATCCGATCTCTGATTCGATCCTTACCTGAGTCAGGGATAGATAATAAATTTAGGAACCTACGATGTACAAGAGACAGATTGATTGAACGGAAGACGCGTGGCGAATGCCGGTTGCATCGATAGGACAGATGGTTTAGCAATTGGTTCGGCTAACGTTAAATAGAATTCGAATTACTTCAAAATATGCGCGCCATCTCTTCCGGGCTGGATCTTTTACTCTCGAAGACATCAAGCGTTTCGCCTATCTTCTACAAACTTGTCGCACCTGGATCGCCAGGCCAGGTGCGTATAGGACTCTCAAAAACATCACAACAACTGCGATCGGATGATTAACGAAAGCAATGACGATTAAGTTCGCTAGACGTCTAAATTGGTTAGAAGGTCCAGTAGATCAAAATTTACATATTGGACAAGGCGATCTTGTTGAGATTTAGGTAGCTTATATCGAGTACCTACAAGAGACTTGTGATTGTGTGACTATTTCCACGCGAGTTCCCCCGTCCCAAACACGGTCAAGTTTAGAATAGACACGAGTCCACCGAGAAGCTATCA